CCACAACCCCGCCACCCGAGGCAAAGGTACAGCCCTGCAAGTGGCGAGTTCGAGAGCCACCCTCTAGACCAGTGATTCTGAACTTTTGGTTCTCAATAATATATATTTTTAATTATTATTATTACTAAATACATAGGTTTGATTAAACAAAGTAGTTGTGCTTAATTTGTGTTTTGATGATTTACCTACAAAAAATGTTTGGCCATGTCTCGCACCCCCAGAGGGTGCTTGCTCCCCATGATAAGAACCACTGCTCTAAATAATATAAATTAATGTGAGGGGGGTGGGAGTGCGATTTAAGACTCTTGTTCATTGTTTTAAGCGCCAGGTCGGCAGATCCAAGCAGTGACCTCTGGGTTGCAAGCCCAGTCAGCCAATCATAACAACACGGCGACAAAGCTGTGTAATTATATACAAATATATTTATATTGAACCGTGCGCACGCCGGCTGCTGCTTCTCGTTCATGAAATTAAGCGCTCCAACAGCAATGTTCCAAAAAAAAAGAACGCCGTTAATTGCATGCGCAATTCCTACTATGACGTATGTACATTGAAGGGGTGTGTGGGGGGGGAGATATAACAAAAGCCTGGAGATATCCGCGATGCACGTCGTCAAGGTACACGAGACCTCCCCGAGCCATCGACGTATCTCACGGTCCCGCGGTGTAACAATCCATCTAGGGGCACCTGAACCCGGGGGCCCATTCCGTCGCTCCATTTCCGCGGTGGCGGTGGGTGGGTTGGTGAGGGGGGGGGATCACATCATCGCTTGCGCGTTCTCTCCTCTGACCGCCGGCCGGCCTTCTTTCCTTCTCGCGACGTGTCCTACTAACCCCACTTGCTTTGCGCTTATTCCCCCTGAGCCACGTGCTCCTCTTCCTGCACCACCCCCCCCCCTCCTCCGTGCAATTCCAAACGTGCGCCTCTGTCTCTCTCGTCCCCTCTCCAGGCTTATTTGTAAACTCTTCAGCTTTTGTTCCACGTCTTGTCAGCGACCATGTTTCCGATCCACGTGTCAAGGCAGGTTCTATGCGATGATTGAGAGAAAAACAAACTTGCCTTCGATGAGTCATATTTGTGCGTTTCATTGTCGGTTTGACATTTCGGAAGCTACTCAGTCCTGCTCGTGCACGTGTCTTAATGTCATCAGTTTGCTCGCATTCCACTTATCATCCATATAGAACTGCTTTTAAACGCGTTTCGTTTGTTGTTTTTACTCCCGCACCTCAGATTAGCGCGATTGGCTACGTACGGTGCGAAAGAAGTTCAACACACACACACATACCGTTATGGATTTGTGTCCCCTATTTGGCACCATCTCCTTGTTTTATTCATTCTACGTGGCCCATGTTGTGCACTAACTCCAAAACACACGAGTACAAGAATGAGACAGAACATAAATTACAAGAAAAACACAACGCAAGGAAGACAACAGATTTCATAACATGCGATGGAGCAATACAATAGGTCTGGCTTGCATTCCGAGTGCGCATATTTTCTTAATCTTTCAGCTTTTGTTCAACACTCCTCGTCATTGTACCGTGTGGAAGATCTATATCTGGCATTCACAGCCGTCGCCGCCCACCTAGAGGCAACGTGACATACTTCGCCATCATTGTTTAATTTCGACGACCATGAAGAAGTATTAGCAAAATGAAAACATTCTTATTCAGGTACGTAGGTAAGATTTTTTTTTTAAATACGTACTTGGGCTCCTGCCAGAGTGCTGTAATGGTCAGCACACGGGATTTGCAACCCAGAATGCCGCCGGTTCAATTCGATTTCCAGGCTCGGCAGTTGAAACGGTGCCAGTTTCTTAAATTGCTGCCACTGCCTCTGTCCACCCAGAAGTATAAATGGGCACGCAAAGTCAGTGGATTGGCAGGTGGCCGGCGTGTTTTCAATTTAGATGTAAAAGTGCATAGCTCCAGTGGCTTCGTAATATCGGAAGAGCGTTCCAGGCGGCCGCAGAAGTGCATCTGAAAGCGCGCGATGCAGTGACCACCGTCTTTGTTCGATGGTTCGCTGCCTCTAGAACTTCCTTGAGTGGAGGCCCTTCCACCAGCAGTGGCGTGAGCAAGAAATTGGAGGGCTGCGCATTTACATTTGAAATACAAACATTTTGTTGGGTTACGGTAGAAACATTGAACGTATGCAGACAGTGGCGAGGGCCTTCTCGTTCGATTTAGGCATCTGTTCTAATTCATGATTAAATTACACGAATGGGCAGTCAGGCTCACTACGAGCACGTCAAAAGGGTACGAGGCGAGGCCGACACACAGAGCACAAGACCTACCCCGACCCAATGTTATTTATGTGCAACCACAACATTCATTGACGTGGCCTCATAATCCCACACCACGGGGCATTCGTGTCAGGGGTGATGATATTGAAAAATGAAGTAATTAAGCACTGCACTTTTAATATCCCATATCTCTGACCCCCCCCACCCACCAACCCCTCATTTAATTAGCTCCAGGTACTGGAATCCTGACCCTCAAAATGGTGTTACTGGAGCAAAGAAACACATTGAATAAAAAAAAACTGGCAAAATGCCCCATTATTTACAATCTGTAAATTTTACAGTTCTGCAAATCGAGCCGTGCATGAAAATCCTCCGAGAGCTGCGTGAATTATGTGAGGGTGGGGGGGGGTCGTACACTCACTGGGAGATAGGAAAGTGGAGGGGGGGCAGAACACGTTCAGTTATAAACTCGTCACTGATGCTAGCCGTGGCCGGGAATCGAACTCAGGTTTCACGCATTGCGTCACCGCTACATCCCCCCCCCCTCCCGCCCAAGAGCCGACCTCCACGGAATCCCGTTGTTGTTTTTCTTCTATAAAGATGTCGAAAAATCTGCCCCCTCGAATTTGTGTTGGGCTATAATTCGCGGCAGAAATATTTCATTCAATAAAAAAAAGCCCTCACTGGCCACGGGTGATGTGAGAAAATTGGAAAATATGAACGTAATTCAATTCTACAACGGGATATCAATTAGCCCAACCTCGCCGAAGCCACCGGTGTTGCAATTAGTGTTTAAAATAAGCCGTCTCGCAGCTAAACTGCTGGCAGAAAATTGGGCGAAATTTGTGTTAACAAGCTTTGTCGGTGTGGGGCGATGCGTTGCACATGCAAAACGTTACCGGAAAAAAAAAAATATAATGGCCCCGCTATGGTGGGGCATTATCGAGGTCCGCAAATATAGTGCGTAGATTGTAAGGGTGTTTCTTTCATCGTGTCACCCTCCGCATTTAGAATCAAGATGCCATTAAAGAGTGTTTGGCTGCGATGCATTTTCACGTGACGAGAAGCCGCTTCGTTGAGCTGCCATTTGTGACCAGGTCGCTTCTGAAAAACAAATGCTGTTTAGCTCAGTGAGCCTTGCCTGGTAAAATAAATATATATTTAAAATCCATAAAACAGGTTTTTTTTGGGTTAGATCGCGTAAATATATAAATGTGTCGTTAAATCGGCCACCACCTGACACAGCCAATACCTACTATAATCACCCAGGAATGTCTGTCCTTAACGCTCGTGACGTCAGTCCACATTGACCAGCCCCCCTCATTAATATTCATGAGCAGGTGACGTCCTCCAAATGGACACCCCCCCCCCCCATTATTACCGACTGAGCCAAGAATGTGTGGAACGCTCGTGACGTCACTCCACGTCGACCTGCCCCCCTCATTAATAATCATGAACAGGTTCCGTCCTCCACATGGACCCCCCCCCATTCATAATAATTATCGACTGACGTCACTCCACATGAGGGGGCGAGGCGCCTCCTCCTCCCTCCTCGGCGTCAACTTACAATCCTCACTACCAAGGCAGAACCCTCACGTCACGCGATCTCCGTAACGCTATTGAGTCGTCAAAAAGGACGTCATAATGAACAAGGGATTATAACCTTTAAATGAAATAAGTCTGTGTCACCGCGGCCTTACAAATTGCACACTAGTTGATGCAATGAATATCACGTCGCGGTCTGATTTTCGCTCGCAAGTTTCAGATTTACTGCAATACACCCGTCCTTGGACGACCAAAAGGCGAGTTAGTAAGGTTTGTCAACAGAGCATGCCAATTCGTTACTAGTACAGCACACGGGTGTGTTGGAGAGCAAAGCCACAACATTTACAATCCGAGTACGACGTGTCGCCTGTAATTACAACAGGCGGACAGCCAGACTTGTGGATAAATCCTTCTGGCTGTCCGCCAGATGAAGCTAGTTGTAATTACTGGCGAAACGTCGTACTCAGATAGTAAATGTTGTGGCTTTGCTCTCCAACACATCGGTGTGCTGTACTAGTAACGAATTGGCCACGTTCTGTTCACGTGACAAACCTTACTAAATCGGATGTGTTGGGTTGTGCCGGGTTTAAGGACACATTTATATTTGTATACGCGATCTAACACAAATAAACCTGTATTATGAATACTGGTCGCGAAAGCATGTGTTAAACCAAATTTAATATTTATTGAATAATTAACATTTATCTGTAAGGCGCCTTCCACTGTCTCAAGGATGTGAAAATTGACCAAGGCTCATTAAAATAAAAAAGCAAGGACTTTCCACTTATTAAAGTAATTATCTCATCAATTTCACGATATCCTAGGTGGCCAGACCAAGAAACATCATTGTGATTTTGATTTAAAGCTTTCGTGACTGCAGGGATTCATATTCTTGGTTCTTTCGGTAAAGTCACGTAGAAGGGAAACAATAAAATAAAAATATAAAACAATAAAATTATCACGTTTCGACTGCAACTCAAGCAATCATCATCAGGTGTGAAACCCACAGCAAGAAAATATCCTTGCTGTGAGAATTATATTGTTTTATATTTTATTATTTTATTGTTTCCCTTCTACGTGACTTTACCGAAAGAACCAAGAATACAATTGTGATTGTTACAGGACTCGGTGAGAATGCGGAACAATCCCTTTGAGCGAACAAGAAAACGTGCAAAACCAGTAGCGACAGTAATAAAAGGAGGCAGCATGATGTCCGTCTATATACATATTTATTTAGGCGGAGGTTTAGAGGACAATTGTCTTCCTCGGCGAATCGCCACGATTCTTGAACGTTGTGGGTGCACTGTGTGTATGTTGAACTTATTTCGCACCGTGCGTAGCTAACCACGCTCATTGGAGGTGCGGGGGTAAGGAAAACGACAAACAGCAAAAGAAAAATCAGTTCTAACTAAACGAGTGTAGCGTTTCTCGTGGCTGTAAGGGGTAACGTGAACCTATTACATACAACACATCAGTCACGATCAACTTCACTGATGAAGGCCCCTGCAAGCTGTCGCCATCTCTCACCATTCTGCGACCTAGCAACCCGTCCAGTACCTGTGCATGAGCCCATTTCATCGCTCCGCATATCGATGGAACGCCATCGATTCCTGCACACGTGCTGCGACGCCGTGTAGCTCGAGCTAAATAAACGATATTTATATATTTTACCATTACATCTTAGTAACTTTGCACATCCTTTAAACACGCGGGGGGTTGGGGGGGGGGGAAACATGCAAAACTCAAAAACGGAGCTGCACCATTTAGGGCACAACACGTGCATTGTATATCTGGAGGGTGGAATTGAGAGGAAAGTTGCGAAATGTGCACATACCATATATATACACGCAACGCGTACAATGTGGCGCGCGTAAAAAAAACACAAAAAAACTGCACCAAACGAACTTTAACAATGGGTGCGTCCGCAAAACGCGAACGGAAAGCAACTGCATTCAAAAGCGACGAGAAGAACGAGGACCGCGGCCTGTGCGGTTACCCTACGGCACCAACCGAAACGTCGGCGCGCAATTCGCAATGCTTAGGTCAGCCATGCCCTGCCAGGTCAGCTGTCGGGGGGCGGGGGGCCGGGAGGATCGGCGGTCGCGAGCAGCGGAGTGGTCGGGGCGCGTCGCTGGCGCGTTAAATTCTTGCAGCGCTGTTCACCTTGCAAGTTTGTCGGCCCTCCGGGGGGGGGGGGGGGTTCTTTAATAATGCCACAGCCTCTCGTGGAGCGTGCCAGAGAGACATCGCCAGCCAGCTCCTTCGCTCATTGCCACTAGATGCGTTTGTCCGCTGCGACGCGTAACGAAGAGGTAGAGCCCCTCCCGAAGAGGGGACATGCGCATTAAATCTAAAACCTAACGGTGACATACTGGTGGGGAGGGGGGGGGGGGAGTTCGATGGATAATAAGTGTGGCCCTTGATCGAATAAACCACCCTTGGAAGTGGCTTCCTCATATCACGTGAATGAAGGTGGCGAAGCAACGCAACCCTGGAGGGTAACGGCCTCCGCGTAATCAACCTCGCTGTCGGTTCCGGTGCAGTCGTGAAAATCACAGGGTGTGCATTTTAAAAGGCGATCTTCGCGTCCTTTGCAAGAAAAATGACCACCCCCATCAGCCCCACCTCCCCAGGACTCGCCCATGACAGCTTTAGGGGCGAACATATCTTGACAGATGGGAAGGAAACGACACCGTGAACACACACCGCCACGGCATTCCGTGCATTTCATAACCCTCACCTGCACCCGTGGGAACGGAGGGGGGGAAGTGCAGCGTGACAAGGGGCTGTCAGGAACGTTTTTTTTTTTAAATCCAATGTCTTCACTTGAGGCTTCCCACGTACGACTGTCTACACTTTCCGGGAGCACATTTTCACTGGCGGGTTCGGTGTAGTTGCAGAAAAAGATAACTTAACAGCTCAAACAAAACTATTGATGTCTAAAGGAAAAGCGGGCGAACGGTGTGCATTTCAAAATAAGTCAAAATTGTCACGGGGCACACCGTTTTCAAAACGCGTCTATACAATTACACAGAGGTTAACATTCCTGGGAGTGTGAAGAAAAAAAACACAAGGACGCATAAATAATGACCCAAGAGGCTTTGTATTTGTAAGCTGGTGCACGTCTGTTGTAAGCCATCATGTATATGGGGTCGGCCCACAGCATTTGAAATATTTTGGCCACGGAAGTCGATATAATCCGAGCCTCCTATAGATATTCCGTTACATCAACTGCAGCGTCTTGCCTTTGTAGATCAAAAAAATCTATATTTGACCCATAACTTGTACTGCAATTTTTTTGGTTAAAATTGTCAAGGCAGAATAATCACACGTATGAACATACAAAAGCAATAGCCAGTGGCTGATTAATACCATGCCAAGAGTGCTTGCGTCTTCACTGCGTTATGCAGAGCTCTTTCAAAGTCTACTATCGGACACGTTACCAAATCTGAGCTACAAAACTTTTTTGTTTGTACAAAATCTGTGCACACTTTTCACATTTCTTGCGCGCTGGTTCAAAATTAAATTCGATGACGCCGTTTTTATTTTTTTTACGTGACGCAAGGACACTCAAACCGCGTTTCAGTTTTTAGAATGACCACGGGCAGTAACACGCACGCACACTAACACACGTGCGCGTGCACTAAGTTGTGGGAATGTTTTCAGTGTTCAATTTAAAAGTTAATGGGCAAGGAGGAGGTCGCTAAGTCACAGGTGGACAGTGGGAATTTCTCTCTTTAGTGGGTGCATCAAGCAAAGCCCTCTCTAATTGCCTTGCTCCCACCTCCAACCCCAAAACCTCACGAGGAAAGCCGAACTAGGCTTGTCTAGGCTGGGTAACAAGCTATGACAAATATGGTCTGTTGGATAGCCCATGGAGAGCATTCATTTAAAGAATAACATTATCGATGTTTTGGGCAAATGCTCTTCTTCGTGGTTAAAGAAAAGAAAAAAAATATACGGAGAAAAAAACATTAAGGCTCCAAGAAATGATTTCAAATGTTCAGTAAAAGATTTTAGAAATATTGATTCAAAGCTTTCGTGACTGCAGTAATTCATATTCTTAGCTCTTTCGGTAAAGTCACTTTACCGAAAGAGCTAAGAATATTTTAGAAATAGTTTTAATGCTAAAACCCTCGCCAATTATTTTAATTAAAATTTCAGTGAGCCACGGCATCACTCTACTGTCATCTTATATTAGTGAATAGGTCTAACGTAAGGGCGGGCATGTCTTTCATATCTTTATTCTGAAGGCCTTCTGCCCACATCTGACATATGTAGGAAGCTTAACTGTCACGGCCGACATGACCCACATTTCCTGTAAAAGAAAAAGGGTCAGCCAAGTTACAGCCCTTTCCTTCCACCCACAGTGGCAGCGGACACCATTACCAACCACTCTACCCACCTCTGGCGATGCACAACTCTCAGCACGCACCAAAGTCTTCGCCCGGGCGTCTTAATTAAGTTCCAACTCTGGTGGCACGACCAATGAAGATCAAAAACGTCGGCGAAACAATCTCCGCTCCAGCAGCGACGAACGTCACGAGGACCTGACCCAGCCCGGCGCCCAAATGACTTCTCTTTCTCTGCAGCTGCGATCGATAAACACCAGTCATTCACGGAGCGCGTTATGCACACCTATTAGCTTTTGTTGAGAGGGGGGGGGGCAGTGAAAGGGGTGGTGGCAGGGGAGGGGTGGGGAAATAAAGGACCGTGCTGCCTTGCCCGGTCTGCCACGTTGGGCAGCGGTCGTTTACAATGAGGAATGCATCGACCCCTGGCTTTCGTGTTTGTCTGTCGTGGCCGGGGCGGAGCTGGCCAGGCTTTCGGTAGCTGCGCAGATTGACAGCCGTGCGCCGCGCTGGCAGCGTTGGCTCATGCGAGCGATAGCCGCGGTTATTTTTAGCCTCGCGTGTGACTTTAATTGCCTTCTAAAATAGCATGGGCCCCCTATAAACGCTGCGCCGCACTATGCAAACCCCAGAAAGAATGGCTCAATTATAGAGCTACGAATGGCTTGCAGGAGGGTCCTGGGGACCCTAACAATCAACCATGCAGACTCTTATGTAGGCAATAAAAAATGAGATATACAGAACAGTATGTTAGGCAGGATATTGGGAGGGTGGAAAATTACTTTTTTTTCATACAGATTGGCAGATAAACATAGGATTTGTGACGTCAGCGATACCTGGCATATTATTGAGCCTGGACTCACACTACAGCACAGAGATGGCCGTGATATCCACACAGACACTCATTCACCATTCGTTTAATGACGTCCCAGCAGGGCCCAGAACCTTCTGCAAAACCTGCGCGGCGTTCCGGCACCTGATTTAAGGGTCGCTACCCGCCGACACAAAACAATCGAGGCTCGGGTCCGCCAGGCGTGCAGGTCCCGGCACGAGTCGGCGGTGTGGCCGGGCCGGAGGAGGACGGTGGCGGTGCCACGTTCGCGCCCGGCGCCGGCGACCTCAGTCGGAGACGGAGGGCGAATTGAGGGACCGTCCGCTCGCCGGGCTGTTGAGGTGGAAGTACGACGATGAGGAGGCGTCGCGATCACGGTCCTTGCTGTCGTGCTTGTGCTTGTGTTTATGCTTGTGCTTGTGTTTCTTTTTCTTCTTCTTATGCTCGTGGTGGTGGTGGTGATGATGGTGGTGGCCCGACTGCTGATGCTGCTGCTGCAGCTGCTGCTGGACGTGTTGCGGTGACGGGGGCAGCACTTCCGAGGCGGCCAGCCAATGGGATGCGGCAGCAGGGAAGGGGGTAGCCGCCGGTTGAGATGATATCGGGAGCGCTGGAGTATCTGCTGCAGGAGTAGAAGATGCTTTCGTCGCATCTTTGCCTGGAAGATAACGCGACAACACATTTATATTTAAACAACAGGTAACACTGCAGTACATTCTCAGCTGCACGCTCTGGTAAGGTTAAATAACCTCATGTTTTATCGCGAGGCAACGTCTAATGATAATATATAATATACTCCACGTGAAATTACAGCAAATAAAAAGATAACACCAGGCAGCACACGGGCGGCCACCTGCATCACTGCACCCAAATGCCAGCGGAGTTAGGAATATTGTCTGGCAAGTACAGCAAGGTTATTTTTCTTTGCCGTACAAGTTTATCAAGCCAGTACTCTTGTAGAATTTAACCTTCTTATAGAGTTTGGCCAAACTGATGTGATTCTCTTTAACAAAGTACTGAACCGTTTGCTGTGATTCACACCAGGTACTTTCCACACCATATGTCCCATGCTGCTTTTTCATTTTGAGCAGGCATATTATTATTATATTTCCCCATTGATCAGAGCCATCAATTTAGTTTGGGTGCAACCTATTGCGAAATCACTCTTTTGCTATTAAGAGATATTCTGATTAAGAAATTATGGTTATGATTAGACGTTTGTTGCATGCAATGGACTACATCTCTTCAGAACTCATGGGCAGCAGGGTGGTGTAGCGGTAACAACCGTGCTTCACAGCGAGAAAGGCCTGGGTTCGATTCTCATCTCGAGCATGCCTTTGAGTGTGAACTTTGTACGTTCTCCCCCTGTTCTGCATGGGTTTTCTTAGAGTGCTCCGACTTCCTTCCACACGTATGACGCTCATGAATTAGAAACAAACATCTTCATATGTATATATACTATGAAAAAGATGCTTATAGCTCATCAGATTCCTCCAGTATAAATAAAGATTCTGATATGTCCTTGAACTCAGTGTGGCTTGCTGGGTAATTAAGTCATTATTATAATTGTTATAAACGAGTAATCGCATAGAGCCACACACTACGTAACAATGCACAGGCATCCGCAGGCATGGCAACTTTCAGATTGTAAACACTACACACAGCATACATGATAAGGCATTCCAAATTAAAAACACACGCGCAAACGATTTTTTTCTCTCTGACATTAACACCCAATAAGGCTCCGTAACCCGAAGTTCACCGTTTGTCAAGTTTATCAAGTTTCAAAGAGAGGGGGGGTGGAAATCATTGCACGTGGCGGCCAGTAACTACAAAGTGTGGTTGCAATTAAAACAAAATCAAGTGAAATCGAATTAGAACGACAGCTGTTGGAACTGCGATCAAAATTCTCCGCAAGCAACAAAACAACCAACCCCCCCCCCCACGGGCGGTGCCCACGTGCGGTGCCCACGTGCGGTGCCCTCGTGACGGGCAACCGTAGTAATGTGCACAAGGTGGCCCCCCAACTCCTGCCAAGCGGACCCGGAAGGGCACTGGACGAGCAAATCTGTGTGACTTCAACGACATATTTCCGTTTATGCGATCTAACCCAAAAAATAACCCTTTATCGCGTGACTGAACAGCTCCACCAAGCAGGGATTTGGAGACAACAAAAAAATGAGGGCACTCCGTACCGCTTAACATCGGAAAAGACGTTCGTTAGCGGGTGGACGTCGCGCACGATTGGACGATGATGATGATGATGTCACGGGGGGGGGGGGGAAGCAAATTACTGATCGGCTTCTGGGAGTAGTAACTTAATTAGCTTAATTCCTGTACGAGAGGTTTGCCGGGGTGGCTCAGCGGTCGGCGCACCGAGCTAGAATCAGAATCTTTATTTAGACTGGAGGAATCCGATGAGCTATGAAGCTCTTTTTCACAAATGTACAGCTAGCACCGTTGATACCTTTGGCTTTGAATCCGGGTTTCAACCACCTGTGAGTAAACCGAGTTTCAAACAGGCTGTTTATCAATGACTCATGATATTAATTTTTTTTTTACTTAAGTTGGAACAACAAATTACAGCTCTGCCATGTGACAAACTGATGCACAGCAGGGCGCGTGGGAATGTAGAGCAAGGCCAGTGTGGATTGGAGGTCACCTGAAGGCCTCTCAGAAGTAGTTCTGTGCTATCATCTTCTGCGGCTCAATTTTATAACAGGAGGTGTTTTCCAACGGACACTCTTGTGAAATGACGCCGATAGCACAACCGGTATAACAATTTGAAACGGGCAAAAAAAAACCGTTCTTGAACACAATGAAGTGAAAGAGGGGTGAAATGAACCTGGTGTAGCCGGGTAGTCCATTATGCCGAGCTGCTGGTTTATGAAGGCTTGGCTGTCATGCACAGTCTCCATGTCCACCTCCTCATCATCCTGAGAGTTTGAGAACTGCAGGAGGAGAACAAACGACGGCGGCACATCGTGCAGCGACACGCGAGGCACAAGCGTTACGCAATAAACGCATGAAATTGTACGGTGAGAGCACGACAAATCCATTGGCACACCAGAAATATAGCTCTTTTGGATGACTAACGACATTGCACTGTGTGCAACAAGGCTCATTTGAGAAAATGGGACAGCATGGCTTAGCTGTAGTACTGCTCACTGCCAGATGTGGCTAACAGGGTGAATAAGGACAGGGCACGGAAGGCTATCAATCATGCCTTCCCCTGCTTTGGCCACATACAGACGGTGTCAATACACCACAGTGACACGTATCATTGTCTGCAATGCAGGGTTGAATTGGACGCTGCGCTGTAAATGTATTTCCCCTAGGCTAGTCCGATTCACATCCGTACCATTTATGAAGAGCAAAGTGAGATTGAGTCTCGTATGGAAAAGAGAGACTCGGGAGAAATGCAAGCACATGTACACCGCTGCAGAATAACGGCACAGAACAAAATCAATCGTTAAAAATAAAGCAAAATACTTAGGAAAAGTATAGCCGAAATTACGTAATGAATCGTGCAAATTATTACGTAAAAACAAAGTAATGTGGAGATAAGACACTTTTAGTCTATAAGCTGACCTTCTAAGACACGTGAAATTTTTGGTTTTAAACTAATCGTAAATATGGAACAATAAAAAAGTAAACAAACAATTTTTCAACAGTTATTACAGTTTTGCGCATTCAAAGAAAGTGTTTTGAGTTTTATTTGTTTTATTCCTGTGGGTTTCACAACCGCTGAATAACAGAATAATGAGTGCACACGGCAAGTCTCCGGTCTGGGAGGTGACGGTAAAAGGTGCAGCACTGCAATTTCCTGTTCACGTCACCGCTGGCCAAAGGGCCTCACGACTCGTGACAACTCTAGAGTCCCTCGAGAGCGTATTTGGCTCTCCTTTTCAAAACTGCTCAGAACGTTTAATCCATTTTAACCCCACCACACTCGACCCGCCTATCGACTGTGGTGTACCTATTTATTGCTGGGCAGACCAGAGGCAAAAGGTTGGGGGTGGTATTTAAGAATCTCACCCATTGATAGCATCAACTGCTGCGCTGGGAGATCGAATCGGCGACCTCTGGATTGCAAGGCCAGTGTGCTAATCATCACACCGGGGAAAGCACAATCAGGGAGACTGTAAACACAACAAGGGCTCCGCCGTGCAGCAGGCTTGGTCAGGCGCACCTTGATTTTGAGCTTCATTTTGCCATCATCGTCTCGATCAGCTCCGGAGTGCCCCGACCCTGCGTCAGGCCCCAGGCTGAGGGGTGACTCGGCTTTCCTCTTCACTCCCTGTGGCGCTGGGTTGACGACCGCCACCTCCTTGCTTGCCGGACCTTCCTCTGCCTGCTTTCAAAATAAAGTGAAACTGGTGAGTACGTTCAGTATTCGTGCAACAAAAGGCGCTGTTTCACAGACACAGTCTGCAATAGACCTCTAGAACCTTTGTTATGGACAGTCTGCAGTCGTTTCATAGGAGGAGGGGGGAGGATGATGATTGCCCTGTGTTCTCCCCAACCGAGTAATTTTGCGGGTAATTTTTCGAGTTTGGGAAAACGTTTCATCGCGACGCCGTGTGAATGCAGACGGTGGCGTATCTGTCACGGTTCACACGCTCGAAGCATTCACCGGGGCTGCCACTCGCCTCGAACCACTCTTACCCCTGCAACAAGCGGCAAACAAGCAACGCTCTGCCATGATTTACAAGTGGGACGCGAGCAACATTTCTGCCCAAATGAGTCTGGGGCGTCGGGGGCACCAGGGTAAGTCCTCCGGTGATTCGCTATAGATTTAAACGGAGGGAGACGGGGGGAGGGGATATAAATGGAATAGGGGGTAGGGGTGGGGGCAGCGAGCCTCGCCCAAAGGCTGAGCTCCCAGCTTTAAAATGGGGTGAATAATTACAATCGGCCGCGCTCTGCAGAACCAATATTATCAAAAAATCCAGCCGCAAAAATTAAAGCAATCAATCAATGGTTGGGAATCAACCAATGTCACAGGGGAAGCAAGTTATGTGCCTCTATTCCCTTCACAGAATCGTGAGAAGCCTATTCGAGTTTATTCTTCAATGTCAATTTGTAAGTGAAATATTCAAGCTAATTTTTCGTGTTTTAATATTTAAATAAGCTAAATTTGTATTTCTGTAAAAACCTTGGTGGCAGGCGGCACCCCGTTAATGGAAACGCAATTAGATGCCGTTTTGTCACCAAACAAAAACATCTAACCAGGAATATCTACGGAATGACTTGCTGTCATGCGAAATGTATGCCGCTTGAATTTCAGCCGCGGTGATTTAACTCAGCTTCAGCCCAGGGCGCTCCACTGTCTTATTCCAGTCCCAGAATCCACATTATCATCCTAACCCCTGGGTCACACAGACCGCCAACTTCCCAGGTGAGGCACTGACATGGCGACGCTGAAGGGAAAAGCAGCTCCCACTGACATCACTGTCATTCAAGCGCCAGGATTTAATGCAGCCAGCAATTTTTTTCGTCATGGTCTTAGTCTAGTCGACGACCAACTGTAGATATTTCAGTGATTCTCAGTCTATGAATTTCACTTCGTCATTGTCTCAGTCTAGTTGCTGATAGCAAACATTCAGTCAAACACTCTTAGTTGTTAAATGTGGTTTGTGAGTGGCGTGCAATCACCCTCCATCCTTCCAATATTGCCAGGTAAACCAATCAGTGAGCTCAGTAAATATATTTTACATACATATGTAGAGCCAATTTACCAAGTCTGGTCTTCCTCAGTTCACTGCTCTCTCTAACAATATTACTAATCTTCATTAATGTCATCTCATCATAGCCGGCCAACGCTCTGGTCTCCATGGTCGGTAGCTTTGGCCATCGTGATACTCAATTAATTTCGTCCAACTGTAGAGTCATCGACAACTGAAGCAAATAACGTTCACTCGAATCATCTCGCAAACACAGTTTTTGCACCGCTCAGGCTCCCTGCTGCCACTCGCGTTGGGGGCAAAAGGGGTCACACGCACAGCCAAAGCACAAAGGCGAAGGGGTAACGGAGGGGGTAACGGAGGGGGTAACGTGCCGTGCCGGTGGTGGCCACGGTCGCCCTTCCCGGCGTCGCGGCACTGGACAGCGTCTCGGCGGGCGGGGGAAGCGCCGTCGCCTCTGGCTTGATGGTCGGGTTGAGCACCGCCTTCCGTTCCTTGAGGTTCACCACCAGGCCCAGCTCGGGCAGCGGCAGGCACGCCGGGCGGCTCAAGCCGAACAGCGCGTGGTAGAGGTCCACAGCGTCACAGCGCAAGCGGCAGTCCTGCGCCGTGTCTGCTCGCACACACGCAAGCACGTACGAACGTGCCACACGGTGCCACACGGCTCACTACGATTCACCATATGTCAAATGTGCTCGAGCGCTAAGGGACTGCCGTAGCCCAGGGGTAGTGGCACAAGCAAGATCTGGTGTGTTATGTTGAACTTCTTTCGCACCGTACATAGCCAACCGTGCTAATCGGGAGGTGCAGGGGAAGGTGCTTTTGGAGGCAAGAGTTGGTGGATCTGAGTAAGGGACGCGCGGCAATTGTGCACCTTGGATTGGCACGGTCGGCTACGGACGGTGAAAAATAAGTTCAACATACATACATACAAATAAATACAAAGATCCCCCATATAGCCTGAACGGAATGTTGGGGCAAGTGCTGTTAGCAAGCACCTATGAAGACCGGCACGGCACACGAGGGCATGGGTAAGCCAGCACCACGCCCGGCCGCCTTTGCCTCCCCGGAGGCAATGTTTACACATCGCACCAGGTACACATTTGAGGCTGAGTAGACCGAGGAGAGGCCCAGGACCGGTTCAGATAATCGCCACTGGTGTTGGCCGTGAGCGGGAATCGAACTCGGGTCGCCGGGTCCGTAGCGAAGCGTGCTCACCACTACACTACAACTCCCCTGTAATATACATAACATACACACATTCATGCGAATCTATCAAAGTGCCACGCAAGTACACCAGCTCGCGCCAAACTCAAGCTTTGCCAAATGTGCTCGAGCGTTATGAAAAGGCTTCAGCCGAGCGCGGAGGATCTCGCCCGTGTTCCGGCGCCTTGGAGGAAAGGTAAAAATGTGAATCACGCAGAGGCTGTGAGGGCCCTACTGGGTTGCAAGGTAGCCGGGAGATGAGCAAGTGGGTTTGCGAACCCATCTCCATGCACCTTTGAGTATTGCACCTGCCCCCTCACCCACCGCCTGTACAAATTGGTGTTCTCGCCATTTCCTCACACGTGCAAAAAAAACTGCAAAAGATCTAATTAGGCAAGCATAACAATGCAGGGCCCTCCTGCTAAAAGAATCTTGAAACACTACAAGGCTTTCCTGGAAGAAAAAAAATTACATGATTAGCTTCAATTACAACTTCAGTAATGAAAGCCTCAAAGTACAATTCTGTTGTGAAGAATTTTCAATATGAGCATTGGCTCATTTGAAGTGCACGTGTGTGTCAATGGCTGAATGCAGCATATGAAAGGATTTGAAAGCCGAGCAGCTGAATGCTGGATGAAAGACGTATGGAGGCTGTGTATAATGAAAGGCTCTTCGAAGTGCATTCATTAAGTCTTTCGGAGAAAACGCACGATGTAAATGTAATGTACTATTTTCACCACATTAATAGATAATTACACCTATAAACGAACATAGATAGTCCTTGGATGGGTGACCGATTGTAAAACAGGTTGTTGTTGTTATAGACCGTGGGGCTACAATGTGGGTAGCAGAGGCCAATACAAAACTAAACCAACATGGACTGACCAGCAGTACCATTAATTCAATCCCCACAAAGCGTACAGCACGGGGAGACATTCATCCAGCAGTGGATTGACAAAAGGGGCTGCAGTATATATTTAAAAAAAGGTTATTGCATATTTAGTAGGCAGTGGAACATTGCAGACCCGAGTGAGCGTTGTTCACTTAAACACTTCACGTTCGCTTATGTTACAAGAAAGTGAGACGTCCAAACTGCAGCTGAAATTATTATAATTTTCACATGGGAAGCTCCATCAGATTAACAAAAAAAACTTTTCGAGGTGGTCCGGTAGCTGAGAGGTCAGAGAGCTGATTGGGCACCGCTGAGACACTTCCTGGATTCGAACAGGCATCTCGGAAGTAGCTCTGTGATATCCGCTTCCGTCGGCAGTCTTCGAACACAAAGGGGTTGCACTGCCCTATGAGGAATTCTTCATCTTCTGACGCGATGCGGAAAGCACAACCACGATAAAATTGGGGCAAAAGACATATTTTGTTATAATAGGGTTTCCCCCCCTTTTTTCTGGCAACAAAACTGAAACCTTTTTACGAGGATTCATGTCTGCATTAACCACAATACCTGCAGTCAAAATGCAAACAAAAAACATACTATGATAATATATGCATTGTCCTTGACACTGATTGGTCCACACCAAGGGATGGCTTTATTTTGAGCCTCCACCCAATTGGTGCTCGACCAGAGGACGCCAAAAGGTGTACAGCTCAAAGACAATGCACTATCAAAGTAATGAGGGCTCGGGGTGAGCATCTACATCATTAGACCTCTTTTATGATGTAGATGCTCACCCCGAGCCCTCATTACTTTGATAGTGCATTGTCTTTGAGCTGTATGCCTTTTGGCGTCCTCTGGTCGAGCACCAATTGGGTCGAGGCTCAAAAGAAAGCCGTCCCTTGGTGTGGACCAATCAGTTTCAAGGACAATGCATATATTATCATAGTATGTTTTTTGTTTGCATTTTGACTGCAGGTATTATGGTTAATGCAGACATGAATCCTTGTAAAAAGGTTTCAGTTTTGTTCCCATAAAAAAAGGGGAAAAACCCTATTATTACATTTTGGTACTGGCAAAGGAGGTCTAATGACATATTTTGTTGTTAGCAGCGTGAATGATTTGCTGCATACAACAAAAATGGATGGCTAGTTTCACGAAGGCACTTACACACGGTTGTATTTCCTACCTTCTGGCTAGCGGCGCATAGGAGCCAGGCACCTGATTATGTTTTAAACTGCATGAGCACGGACTTGGCAGTGAGCGCGCAGCTCTGCGTAAGCAGAAGCTTAATCGCGGTTCAATATTATTGTCCGTATTATAGCTTTCGCGGTTGCGGACGGGGTGAGAGGTGGCTCCTCACCAAAATATTTTTGAAGCTTTTGGTTCACTCGTTCTGTCCCCTACACATTATCCGAAGCTGCCAAACTCATCCCTCACCATCTACCCAACCTCGGCCCGTACACTACCAGCTTCATCAATGCCTCCGTCTCATCTGGAACCGTTCCCTTTGCTCTTAAATTGCTGCTGCTGCTGCTGGTAGTGTCACTCCTGTACTGAAAAAAAAACAATCCATACTGGACCCTAAACATCTCTGCACATTTCCATTCAATCTCAAACCTCCCTCTGTTTGGAAAAGTCTTACAAAGGGTCGTCTTCTCCCATCTCTCCAAATACCTCTCACTCCAAGATCTCCACGAAACTGCTTCCCGCCAAGGCCATTCTACTAGGACTGCTCTCTCCGTGTGGTAAATTACTTTCTTATCACTTCAGACCGTGGACCCCTCTCGCTGCTGGTGCTCCTTAAACCAGGGGGGGGGGGGTCGACAACCAAAATAACAAGAGCAGCAATTTATTCCAGAATTCGGGGAAAGAAAAAAAACGAAACATTTCGAGAGCCGCAACGCAATGTGAACGTCAAGAAGCGGCTCCGTAAAGAGCGGCATGGCGGTTCCAGAGCCGCAGGTTGCCGACCCATGTCCGAGACCTTTCCTGCTACGTGCCACCATAGACGACTCGCGCCATTCTCCATGTGCGTCTCCAAACCTAAGTAGGCACACCAAACACACTTCTCTCCCGGTTCCACTCTCGCCCCTCAAACTGCTCTGTCTACTTCTTCTTGGTTCTTTCGGTAAAGCAACGAAGAAGGGAAATAATAAAATAATAAAAAACAAAACGTTATCAAATTCTCACGACGTTTCGGCCACAACACAAGCAGCCGTCCTCAGGTGAAGAAACAGAGCTGTCGGAAAGACAGACAAGAACCAAGAAGATGAATCCCTGCAGTCACGAAAGCTTTAAATCGAAAAGTGTTCTGTCTACGTTTATAAACATGGACCGTCCTCCGCTCAAACGCCCATGCAACGCGATTTTCCCAAACGGCACCATCCTCATCACCACCTTCCCCCCTCTTTTATCAATATATATACTTTCCTCCCTCTTGGCAATATCACCTGCAGTTGTAACGTCCACCATTGCTTCTATGCTGATGAAATCCAGCTTCCGCATTGCCACTGACTCCGCGAACCCAACTTCGCCTGCCTCCTCTCACACCGTGCCTTTTAATACACTCCTCATTTTGGATTGATTCTCCAGCGACACGCTGCAAAACTGAAGCACCCCCTCACTGGCATACAGACCCGCTCTCAGTAAAGGCTCCAGTTTGAGCGCGCACGCCCGTAACTAACTCTAACATCGCACTGCCAAAGAATCCAAAATCTTGGCGGTGTCACTGATCGTTTCTAGACAGCTGTGGATGCCAGCACCCTTAGTGGCTGCAGGCATGACGTGAACCCATTACATACAACATAGACGAATCTATAAGCTTTGATTCTTACACGCATAATTTGCTGAATGTATCAACATAAAGACTCATCGACATTCATCACTGAAATTATGCTTGTTCCACCCTTATGGTTTGGCACACAATCAGGAAACACAATGTCCCAGTTGTTTCGTTTGTAATGTAACCATGTTGTAAGAATAATAATAACACTGTCCTGCCATTTTATCAATCCAGCACCGGATGAAGGCTTGCACACACTTATCAGTCTTGGCGTTTTGTGTTACCATACTTCACCACGCTGGTTCGTATGGGATGGTGAAACGGGTGCCTGGCACTAGTTCAGATATCACTCGCCACTGGTGTTGGTTCGGAATCAAAGTCAGGTCACCAGAGTCAGAGCGCTGTGTGCCAAGCACTGCACCACTGCTCTACCCAAAAAATATAATATTTAACATGTTTATCCATTCCACCAAGAGAGGTTCTCCGCATGCTTCTGTTCATAACACGGAGTTCTACCGTGCTTCTAGATTTGAAGCTTTCGTGACTGCAAGGATTCATACTCTTTGGTTTTATTCGGTAAAGTCACGTAGATAAAATAAAATTGTTTTCTTTTATTTTATCTACGTGACTTTACCGAATAAAACCAAAGAGTATATTCTACCGTGCTGTTCCTCGGCCGTAAGGAGAAAATAAAATATTCTCACAAAAGGAATTTAGATATGGGAATGAAGCGGGTTGAAAAAGATAAAATGTCAAATGTATTTTTCTTATTTTACATAAGATAAAAAATATTTCTGGGCGACACATTTCATATATTTATTTTCAATAAATTTCACGGAGGATAAGGAAAAATAAAATTACTTCACCTAGGGCCAAGTGCGATTAAATGTGGATGAGGACAGACCCTTACACTCCCCTCAACTGCCGTAAGTGGCATCGCTGGCCGCCAGAAATAAAATACACACGCTCACTCACCCGCAACTTTTGATTGGCTTCTCCGTTTGATGTTTGCCCTATCCTGCTGCAGCAGATCGAAAAAATTACCTGCTAATGGCCCACCCACATGTTGGGAACTCACTGAAGATGATGCCCTGCCAGATCTAAAAGCCGATGGCTTAAGGCTTTCTAAAACACGGCGATGCCCTTTGAACCTATTAGAGAAGTGCACGGTAAGGTCTTTTAATTGCGTGGAATGTGTGGTGGTGTGTGGGCTCAGAATCTCGCATGTAGGACATGGTGCCAGGAGCGGAAAGGATATTGTCGCCGTGGTTTTTCACGGCTATAAATTAGGCGGGCTATCAAATAAGAGGGCCATAACGCATGACCCTCACAGGAGGCAACCTTCTCTGCGGACGTCACTGTGTTTTGAAAGAGCGTTCAATAAGATTCACGATCTGCTTTGTCAAAGCACCAAGGGCCCTAGATTTTCCTTGACATCAGCGGGCAAGTAACAGTGGTGTCCGCTGGCACAGTACAGTTTTAAACAATTAAATGTTATTTCTTGTAAGTAGGACTTGTTAACAAGCCTGGATATACTCGTAAGCTCTTTATTAATCTTTAGCTATATTTGGGAAATTGTGAGCAAGTGTTGCATGTGCACCCAAGGGGTATACCACAGCAGAGACAACGATAGCCATGACCATCTTTGGCGGCCCGTGAGACATTGGCCCTCGGTTGACATTAATGCTAAAAAAATCATAAATAAGAATACGTCTGCTGTGTCTCAAGTTGTTAAACGCAGGAAATAGGAAGTGACGTCACTGGCGCGCCTCAACACAAAACACCTTCGAGACTCCAAATGTGTGACCGAAGTATACAAAGTAGCAAACATCAGGATGGCAGGTTCTCTTTATCTTGTCATCAAGCAAACAAGAAAAACCTTCCGAGACAGCTTCTCACGAACAACCAAACTCTTTGGTTCTTTCGGTAAAGTCACGATTAATCGAAATCGCCTCCACTACCACCATCACTTACTCTACCTACGTGACTTTACCAAAAGAACCAAAGAGTATGGATTCCTGCAGTCACGAAAGCTTCAAATCAAGAACGAACAACCAAGTTCAACATCATGCTTCACACTCTGACCCAATTGTCCACTTTGCTTGAAACGTTTTATGAAATTGTGGGCTGGGTGATGGATGAAGCTGACTTTAGTTCCAATCACAAGGCGTGTGCAGCAGGGCTCCGTTCCCAGGCGACACATTATTAGCGTGGGACTCTGGGGGTGCGTCACGAAATGATGAATTACGGGCAAAAGTAAACTTTACTCTCCTTTCAAAAATTATCAAGTATCGCCGGCCCTTAAGTGGCCATGCCAGGTGCGCCCAGCAAAAGTTTAGCAAATGATTGATAGTTTCGCATTTATGCTCATATTAAATCCTTGGGTCACACCTGACGTGGGTGGTATTTGTTAAACAACCCTGGCTAGCTTACTTTCTTCTTGTGCAGTTAAATCTGTGCTTTTCTAAAGCTCCCTTAAGAGCCATTTCAGCAAAGTGGGATAATTAAACTTGGTCGAGGCAGTCTCTGCCTTGCCAAGGCAGTTAGTCCAAATACAACTACTTGAGTAACAGGCGTTTAATCTTTGAAGCTGCCACTTCCCCCAGAGATTCAATGAATTGTCATGAATCTGGGTCGCAATTTGGCTCAAGAATTTATAGTTTTTTTGCGTCTTTTTTTTTGTCGAATTTTTTCTATTTGTCATACTTCATGTCTTGTTTGCACGCCTTTGTTTGCCACAATTTCGCCTAAACGTAACGTCACAATCTACACGAATTGCAAATGACTGATTCTCATGTGAATGATTCATCGCATGCATGTGAGAATAGGAATATCTTGGATCTCTGCATCATTACAGGCCTAGTGTTGTATATATAGGCCTTTTTCCATTTTTTTATATTAATAATGATTTTTGCCAATATTTTTTTTCACATAATCACTTACGGGGTCGCTGGGAGCACAAACAAACGGAACCCCGCCCCCCCCCCCCCCCCTTTTCGAGCACAGCTGTCTTGTCACTCTTGCAAAGATAATGACACCCTCCCCTCCCACCAACGGAAAGGGTCAGTCATAAAGTCAAATAAAACACACACGCCCCCCCCCCGGACGAAGGATAACAAACAAGCATTTCGTTTTGGTTCACTTTTTCATGCTTCTTCTAACAGATGGTAAAAATTCCAAAACTTAGCGACCAAAGATGAAGCTAACATAATCGATCCTCACACTCACTCCAATTAAAAACCAGGCTACAATCTACATCAGTGGATCATTACTCCTCATTCATTCATTCAATACTAAATGTTATTTTCACCTTTAATAATTTTCTACACAACCTGACCGAAGCATCAAGAAGAATTCTGGCAGTCAGGGTTATTCCTAAGCCAAAACGAATTCTCTAACCTCGGGATATCAGACAACACTAACTCGAGAACAAACAGCACAAACCCAGAATACAGATGGGGGACGAAATTAATAAACCCTAAGAAATACTTGGTGATGATAATGTTAAATCACAAATCTGGGGAAACATAAACCAAATAATAATTATGCAGTATAAAACCGGGGGGCCAGCCAGAAGAGATGAGGCGAGGTGGGTCGATCACGTGACCAAGATAAATGTATCACAGAAAGAGAGCCTCCCGGCCGCCTTTGTCTTCCAGCAGCACGTGATAAGAATTTGCATACGCAGGCAGAGAGCATCTCCTCTTAAAAATAAAAATAAAACACCACGATGGAAACACTACTACAACATACCTTGAGTCACGTACAGAATCATAACTACAAGTGGTACGGTATCAAACAATGAAATAAAATAAATGTTTAACTTCAAAAGCCTCAACACACCCTTTGTGCGAGGCAAAAGAATGTCACACCGGGAGGGAAGAGCAGGGGGGAGAGGACTCGACCGGACAGAGGGCACCACCCTCCTTCCAGATTAATTAGTGCAGAGGGTGAAAAAATAAAAATAAAAATAAAACACCACGATGGAAACACTACTACAACATACCTTGAGTCACGTACAGAATCATAACTACAAGTGGTACGGTATCAAACAATGAAATAAAATAAATGTTTAACTTCAAAAGCCTCAACACACCCTTTGTGCGAGGCAAAAGAATGTCACACCGGGAGGGAAGAGCAGGGGGGAGAGGACTCGACCGGACAGAGGGCACCACCCTCCTTCCAGATTAATTAGTGCAGAGGGTGAGAAAGAAGGACGCACTTGGGGGTAATCTGGAGCATCCGTTTCATTTTGATGGCGGGATGGCTTGAGGAAGGCGACAGGGAACCATGCCTTGATGAAACTCATATTACCTCAATAAATATGACACACACACACGGACACACGTACAACCCCCCCCCCCCCCCCCCCCATGATAACACAGAGCGAGATCAAAGAAAGTTTCGGTCCTTTGTGAGAAGGCTAGCAGAGGAAGAAATTTTGGCATAAAAAGAGAGACATGGGCCATAAATCGCATCGCAGCTACCAGCGGCAGAAGACGGCGACCATCAGCTACCGAAGATAACAGCCAGCCACCGACGCAGGAGATCACCACCAACACAGAAGAAGCTTGCCAGCAGAAGAAGAATCCACAACTCATCCAGGATGGCGAGGCTCGCCGAGTAGCGACATGCTACGCCGTGCGAATTCAGCGCCATCAGAAGAAGTATCGCTCGAAAATAATTCCGCTCTGGGCATCGACTCACAAGAGCCACTGCAGTTCGAGCTAAGCTGAGGAGAATTCCATCATCATCCGCGAGAGAGGGCGAAAGCGCCAAACGTCGACCAAGCCCGCCATCGACGAACAAAAGCATCGTTCATCGCCAGAGAGCCGGAGCCGGAGAGGGCACGCAGTCGTGCCGTCAGCGCCGCCGAGCACGGGTGCCGGCGGCTTGCCAGCGCACGAGCGACCGAGCATCTCCAGGACGGGCATCGTGCCGACGCAGCTCATCA